GGGGTGAGGGGAGGGCAGCCGCACCACCCTCCAAGGCACAGCCCTCCCCTCCCCAACACCTCTCCTCCTCCGTCGTGTGCATGGCGAAGCCCTGTCGGAGTACTGCTTCTCCACCATCACCACGCCGTCGTGCTGCCGGTGGAGCTATCTTCCTCAACCTCTCCTTCCCCCTTGCTAGATCAAGAAGGAGGAGACGTCTCCCGTCCCGTACGTGTGTTGAACGCGGAGGTGCTGTCCGTTCAGCGCTTGGACATCGGTGATCCGAATCACGTTCGAGTACGACTCCATCATCACCATCTCCTTGGCTAGCTTCCGCTCGTGATCTACAAGTGGTATGTAGATGCAAACTCTCTCCCTTGACTCGTTGCTTAGATGAACTCATAGATGGATCTTGGTGAAACCGTAGGAAAAATTTTAATTTTCTGCAACGTTCCCCAACAAATGCGATGAAGATCACAATTAAGGTAACAATTGATCCAACAACATAATGATACCAAGCCGCACTATCAATGGCATATTTTCTAATCTTTCTAATCTTCAACCTCATTTTCTCCATCTTGATCTTGTGATCATCGACGACATCGGCAACATGCAACTCCAATTCCATCTTCTCCCCCTCAATTCTTTTCAATTTTTCTTTCAAATACTCGTTTTCTCTTTGAACTAAATTTAACCTCTTGACAATAGGGTCGGTTGGAATTTCTGGTTCACATACCTCCTAGATAAAAATATCTATGTCAACTTGATGGGCATAATTTGTCATAAATACAAAATGCAACAACTAGTTTTAAAAGAGAATATACCACATCCGAATCATAACAAGGACGAGGGCCGACGGGGACGGATATCAAAACCATGGCACTATGTATAACAAACAACGTACGGGTAAGATAATTATACGAGTAACTATATATCCAAATCACATAAACATCAATTTGGTAATGTAAAACATTCATGAACAAGAGCCTCCCAGAAGGTGGTGCCGGCGACGGGACGGTGCGGGCGATCGACGGTGATTACGACGGAGATTTAGAAGGCACTAAGTAAACCACACCTACATATGCAAACTAAGTGTTATTTTTGTGCTCAAATTGCATATAAATTAAATACTAGCAAATATAATTATTCCTCCCAAATTAATCACTATACAAAGCATTGCAAGAGCTAATCTAGCAATGAGAGTTGAAAGGACAAAGTTGCTAACCTTTGTGATCATTTGAATGGATGGGGACCTTCAAATCTTGACAAATTTTTGGCAAAATTTGTGAGGAGCTCGAGGAGAGGGGGGAAGAACAGAGGAAGTGAGGGGAAAGGGGAAGAACAGAGTGGCTCAGGGGGACGAAGGGTTTATGTACGTCGACCTTTAGTACCGATTCGTGCCACGAACCGGTACTAAAGGTGCTGGACGGGCCCCAGACTGACAACACCCTGCCACCATCCTCTTTAGTACCGGTTCGTGGTACGAACCGGTACTATAGGTTCGCCACGAACCGGTACTAATGAGAACGGCCGGCTAGCCGTTGGAACCGGCACTAATGAACACATTAGTGCCGGCTCAAAACTCAACCGGCACTAATGTGTCTCATATTAGGTCCTTTTTCTACTAGTGTTAGAAGGAATAGTAAAAGACGGACTAGAAAGGAAGGCACCACATTCGATGATCAAGGTCTGGTAATAAAATACACACCACGAATGGCTCATGGTAGAAGGTTCAGACAACAACACAAAAAACTTTGTAAATCAAGATAACATGTCAGTCAAGAAAGCCAAGGGAAAATGCAACCGATGACCAAATTGGGTGGAATAATAGAATAATTAGTTTGCATAGAAGTCATTTGTATTTAGAGCTAATTCTTGGTTGGAAATTTATCAAAAACATATTGGTGTGAAGATAACTAACAAGGGGTGTGGAGTGGATCAAACAGAATTAAAGAAAAAGTGAAGATTGATATATAATTATATATAAGGTTTTCTTTGGTCTTCCAGACTCACACACAACAATGTTTTATCAACAAAATATAATGCATGCAGTAATCAAACCATGTTTTCTTGGTCCTTGCCTTTTGATTAGAATATATCTATATGATAGTGGAAAATTAAATCATATAATATTTGAGAAAGATGCCATACAGTCAAGAGGAAAAAATAGTCCCAAGCATAGCAATATATACAGTTAATCTAGCCGCGCAAATGCGCGGGTGACTCCACTAGTTATGATGATTAATATAGTTTTAGAACCTCCATGATGATGTTTTGTGGAACTGCTTTTTTTTAGCCAAAGAAAAGGCGCTCAACAATTTCTCTTAAGAAATTTGT